ACACTACACACACACACATACATCTATCAGTCCCTCCTTGTCCATGACTTTGCTTTGTAGTTTCAACTACCCATGGTCAACTGCAGTCCAAAATATTAAATGGAAAATTCCAGAAGTGGGGGAGGGTATAGCTCAGTGGTAGAGCACGTGCCTAGCATGCACAAGGTCCTGAGTTCAATCCCCAGTACTGCCATTAAATAAATAAATAGACAAACCTGATTACCTCCTGCCCCCTCCCCCCAAAATTAATTTTAAAAACAAAAGGTAAATAATAATAGAAGAAAAATACTTTTAAAAACAAACAAACAAAAAAGAAATTCCGGAAATAAACAATTCATAAGCTTTAAATTGCACACCATTCCGAGAAGTGTGATGAAGTCTCGCTCCGTCTGGCTCCTTCCCACCCAGGAGGTGAGTCACTCCTCTCTCCCCTCTGTCTGGCGTATCCACACTGTACAGGCTACCTGCCTGTTTGTCCACTTACTGACCATCTCAGTTATCAGATTGACTGCCAGGGAATCATAGTGCTTGTGTTCAAGGAACCCTGTTTAATTCATAATAGCCCCGAAGTGCGAGAATAGTGACACTGGCAATTCAGATATTCTCTTACTGAACCTAATTTTTAAGTTAAACTTCACCACAGGTATGGATGTGTAGGGAAAAACATCAGATATTTAGGGTTCAGTTCCGTGGTCTCAGGCACCCACTGGGGGTCTTGGAATGTACCCTTCCACACAGAGAAGGAAGTATTACTGTATGCAGAGCACCTCTAATCTTTGGGAAATAGACAAGAAACCTTAAGGTGGAGACTAGGAGTCAAATTTTGTATCATGTGCATTTTGTTTCCATACAAATAGAAGAGATCACTTATTCTGAACACAATTGCTTATTGCATGGTTCTTTGCAGATTTTATTTCTAGGCTCCCCTTTATTATAGAGTATTTCAGCAAAAAGGAGCAACTGGCAATCAAATACAGCTGCCCAACCACGGCCATGTTAGTTACACAGGACTTTCCTAAGCAAACGTTTCTCAAGCATGTGTTTTGAACCTGGTATGGAGTTAGGTCCTGGGAAAATAAAGATAAATGGGACAAAATCTGAGCCCTCGTGGAAAGGGAAGACAGTGAGAAAGAGGCAGAAAGAAAGGAGAGGCCACTTGGTACCACTGGAATGTCTCTTCATGCAGCTGTTTGATTTCACTGCTCTTTGTCTTTAGGAAACGGGTTGGCTCAGATCCCTTGTCTTGACAAGTCTTAGAAATCGACATCTTTTATAAACCAATCCCACGTGTTTCATACTAGACCAGGTACCAACCACTTCACTGGTAGAATCTTCATCTTTCAGCTCCTCTGAAGCCCCCTCACTCTCCCTGGTCCTTCATTCTGTTTCCCAGAAGGTGTAGATGAGATCCTGGGTAGCTGGGCTTTTCACACATCTGCTTTGTTTGATGTGATTCAAAGGATATTGGAAAAGCAAAAGACAATGCAGCTGAGGTGCTGAGAGCCCCAGATATTGTGGGGGAAGAAAGAGAGCAAAGGACATTGCCCGCCACAGACTGGACAAGTTTCCAATCCTCACTGAGCAGTACTCCAGTACTCCGGGGGAGTACCCCAGTACCCTGGTAATCCTGAGGACTACTCTAATACTCCTATAGTACTACAGTGGAGGAAGATAGGCCAGCAGATCACTCCTGTAAAGGAAGACGTCTTGCCTCCTGCTTGTCATAATTCTAATTTACCTGTGGTCACATTTTGAAAACTATTTCCTAGAGAAATGCCTTCAGCCGTTTTCCGAAACAGCTTTTTTTCCCACGTGGCTGTAAAAGATTTCAGTCATTTTTCTCCCCCATTTTATTGAGATATATTTTTATTAAGCTAGAATTGATATACAACATTGTATAGGCTTAAGGGGTACAACATAATGACCGGATCGATGTATACACTGCAAAACGTTTATCACAGTAAGTTTAGTTAACATCCACCACTGCACAGTTACAACTTTTTCCCTTGTGATGCGCACCTTTAAGATCTATTCTTTTTGCAGCTTTCAGAGATACCCTACAGTATGAACTGTAGTTGCTAGGCTGTGCATCATACTTCCAGAACTTATTTACCTTAAAACTGGAAGTTTCTACCTTTTGATCACTTTTACTCAGTTCTCCCACCCATCACCTTCTGCCTCTGGCAACCACAAATCTGATCTCTATTTCTGTGAATTTTTTTAAATATTCCGTGTGTAAGTGAGGTCATACAGTAATTGTCTTTCTCTCTCTGATTTATTTCACTGAGCATAATACCCTCAAGGTCCATCCATGTTGTTGCAAATGGCATGATTTTTTCTTTTTTATGGCTCAATAGTGTTCCATTGAACCATATTTTCTTCATCCCATTCATTTGTCAATGGACACTTAGGTTGTTTCCATGCCTTGGCTTCTGAAAATAATGCTGCAATGAACATGCAAGATCTGTCTTTGGGGTAGCGCTCCCATTCCTTCAGATGTATACCTAGACATGGGACTGCAGGATCCGATGGCACTACTTTTAATTTCTTGAGAAACCTCCATACTGTTTTCCACAATGGCTGTATCAAATTACACCCCCCTCGGCAGTGTGCAAGCGTTCAGACTTGGATCATCTTAAAGGACAGAGGTTTAGAAGCATTTCATTGTTGCAATGATCCAAACCCAGGTACCTCATCTCTTCGTCAAAATCCCATTTGTTGCTCTTGCTGGGCAGAGAATATTGATGAGGCTGAGAGGTGTAGGGGAGGAGAAAGGGGTCTTCCTGAGGTGAATAGCACGTGGGGGGAGAGCAGTAGTTGTTAAAATCCACACGCACCTTCTCTTCATAAAGATCACCCTCTTGATTTGGCCAGAGTGAGTGGCAGCTCATTTTGGCTGCTGGTGGTTCCAATGGAATCTGCTGGAAAAAGGGTTCTGAAGGGTTCTGGGAAGGGGGGCAGTCATAAGGCCAGCTGGTCAGAGGTAAAAAGTAATTGGGACCACCGCTGTCATTCAGAGCATTCCTCCCCAAGGCCATATTCTTGTTCCACGTTTGCAGATCACTGTAACCAAAGACCCCAGAGACGGAGGGCTGAAGCAGGTCTTCGCTGCTGGAGACTCGACTGTCGGACAACCTGCATTTCTCGTGGAGCTGAGGGGGGTCCACGGTGGAAGCGGGGTCTGCTGGGTCAGCGATTCCCCCCAAACCGTAACTCCCGGAGAAGGATGCACCATCGTCGGGCGCCTTCTGCTGGGGAGCATGACCTAGTAAATGTGCGCTGTAACTATCAGGCAACTGGACGCCTTCCTGCAAGGACCAAGTTAAACTTTCCCAGCTTGGCGTTTCACCTGGAAGAGGCTGGGAAGGAAAGAGAAAAGCTCACGTTAATAAGTTAAACTGCCACAGGCACCCCAGGCCCCCACGGCTGACCCCGTCCCACAGGCGCTCGGCGCACGTTCCTCATTCCTCGCATGCTTGGAGCACCAGGGCACCCAGCCCTCTCCACCGGCACCCCGGACCTGGGAGAGGCCAAGGCTGCTGCCATTTCCAACTGAGATCTTACTAACCAGCAAGGGCCGCATCCCCTTTACTCAGACACACGTGCGTTTATAACATGTCACCTCAAATGCAAAGCGGGTATCCAAATTGCCTCTGTGAGACACTCATAAGGGGCGATTTAAGAAAAACCAAACCACCAAAAATTTATATTATATTCAGTGAAACTCTGAGGGGGCCTCTCTCTCTCTCATCATGTCCCTCCTTGACTTTTCTATTTTTTTAGTGTGGATTCCATGAAACCAGGGCCTGTCTTTCTTTCTTTCTTTTTTTTTTCTCCTCAAGAGACATTGAACTCACTCTGTTGAATCACAAAGAGGACCTCTGGAATACGAGGTGGTAAATTTACTTTTATAAATGGAGGAAGGAGATTGCCCTCCAGTTAATCACAGGAAAAGTTATCTGTTGAGAATGGGGTTATCTTCTTGTTTCTGGAAGACGAGGGACTACGAAGAAGATGTGGATGGAGAGACTGTGACCAGGCAGGGTGAGCAGAAGATGCCCTCACCTTCTCCCAGGGCTCCCAGGAGACGGGGTGAGGGATCAGTCACTGGGATTCAGGGACCCATATCTTCCTATAACATACTCAGATTATATATATATTTTTTTCTTAACGTACATTTAGAGACTCCAGGGATGGACTGGCTCCATTCCTGTATTCCTGAAAAGAAATGTGGAGCATGGAACAGTAGAAAAATTACCACCACTATTAAGCAGACAAACCAAGAGACCTACTGTATGACGCCCATAAAGCCACGTACGTCACATCACAGTGTGACCACAGGGAGGAGTTTCCGTCCCCACACCCACGGGGTCCACTGCTTTCCGAAACTCCCTGGTTATTTCATCATGGTGGAGCGGGCTAAGGAAATCATCTCTTCTAGGGAAGCATGGAAAAGTAGGAGGCTAACATTTTGTGGAGATCATTTCATTCTGTTCTGGTTCTGTCAGAAGCAGAGAGTGCCAAGTACAGGTTAAGTACTAATTCCAGTCTCTTTTTATTAACTGCAGTAGGGAAGATGATTCTGAAACTGTATGAACTTTACAGTCGAGGTCATGCTACAAAAATGGTAGAGAGTCAGGGGTCTTGGCAGATGCTTGCTCACAGGTGAGCCTGAAGGTATATGATGTTGGTTTGCACTTGCAGGTAAGGGACAGGGAGATCTACGGCTGCCACCACAGGGGTGGCAAGTCACCGTAGGTTTTGAAGGCACGTGGGGAAAGGTTACCTTTATCTGCGGGCTCTGCTTCAGCTTGGAGTAGGCGGAGGAAGATGCTGTGGGCGTTTTCTTCACTGCTCTTCTGGCCTCGGCTTCCAATTTGGTCTCTGGCTTCGGATGATCATGCTCTCCCTTTGACTTAAAGGAGATGAAGCAGTGAAATAAATAACCAGACGTCCTTTTCATGGTGTGTAGAATTTTACCCCGTGCCCTGTCATCAGACTGGGTGTCGTGGCAACTGACTATTGTGACAAGACTGGAGAAACCTTTAAAAAATCCTCCCATGCGCTTTCCTGCCCACCTGCTCACCCATCTTTTCTTAGGATGCTCCTGGGCGTGGTGCCTCTCCCCAGCCCGGCAAAGTCACATCACAGTGATGGCAAGTAGCGCTGACGACACACGTTCTCACTGACTCTTCAGCATGACGCTGTGAGGCCCCCACCGTCACCACCATCCCCAGTTTATGGAGTGGGAGATGGAGGAGTGGAAGGATTATGCCACCAGGGTAACCTCCCCGAGTAAGCGGGGAAGCCGGGATTCAAAGTGCTCCAGGGCTGGCCAGGCTGAGAGCCAATGGCTGGCCATTCAGGAATGTTGTGAGCTGGTTATTAAACACAGCTTGAAATCAGCCACGGTGGGAAGAGTTACATCCCAGAAAATGACAAACCCTACCCATCAGAGCACTTTCTTTCCTGGGGGCAGGTTTAGCACGGATGTAGGCCCAGGCCTGCCAGAGGCCACTGCTGGTCTCACCTCCCCCATGAGGGCTTCTTAACACCACATTTTACGGAAAACCGGGGCTTAGGGACTCAGGTAATGTGTCCCTGTTTACAGGGCTGGTGAAACATCAGAGCCAGGTCTGTGGAAGGCCGCTGCACCCCGCAGCACCACGTGGGCTGGCCTGAGCCATCAGATTACTGACCACTGCCTCCTCCGGGAGCGTGAGGCAGGGGCAGCTTCAGCCCCAGCTTCTCTCTCGAGGTGTGGGGGACAGACATTTGCTTGCCCAGAGGGGCCTTGGGGAGGATGCAGGCTCCCCTCCACCTGCGCATCTCCAGTGGGAGACGCCCTCCTCGTGCTCTGTGAACAGCTCCTGAATGAAAGGGAAATGGAATCGCTAACTTGAATCCAACCTGGAAAAAGATGAAGCGTCCATCGTGCCTCCAGAAGTTGGTGACGGGAAAGCCCCCGTGGCCCCGGCAGGGAATGAGCTTCAGGGGACCATCACAGTTTGGACAGCGCTTCCCTACAAGAGAGTAGAGGATGGTGATCACCCTGCTGGCCTCACAGTTGACTCTAGGATGACAGAGGAGGATCCCCTTGGCCAAAAATTTATGGGCATTCATCCACTGGGCATGACCCCTGAGCCTAGGAGACCAGGTCATTCCCACACGTGTTAGAGTAAGCAGTCATCTAGAGAGTGGGATATTTTACAGGTCAGAGGAGAGCTATTCTGAGCAAAAAAAAAAAAAAATTCCTCCTCCTTATTCACTGATACTTGAAATTCTTTGTGGAGAAGAGGAAAAAATTCTTGCACTTCACAACTAGAATGAAGGGTCAAGGAGCAAAAGCACATGCCGGAGAGAAAGCAGCTACTAAATTTTCACTAAAGTGTAAATGACTGATACCAGATCCCGCCCCAGGTGCAGGTTTTGAAAACAAATTACAAGGCAAGAACATGAAGCAACTTGAAGTCTCAAGGGGGCAAGACACAGGGAATGCTGAATGCACCTATTTCACAATCTGATGAATATGATAACAAAAAATGAACAATCATCTCAGCCTGTGATTATGGCTGGAAACTAAATGGCGTAGAATTGAGTCTAATCTCAGGCTCAGTCCCGGCTCCCACTCCAGATCAAAGCACTCACTGAGACCATTTGAGGGACCCCAGTCCCCAAGATGCCAGGTAGGAAGGGTGAGAGATAACTTTCTCTTAGACTTTGGCAGGGTGTGCTGGTGAATTCGTGTTAGTCTCTTAAGTGAGGCATCTTGCTTTTAGCAGAAGCCCCGAGTCAGGCGCCTTAACCCAAGGGAGCCTGGGCGTGGCAGATCGTTGGGGCAGATCTTTGGGACGAGGGGGCTGGTCGGCTCTCCTACACGTGAGAGCCTCCACCACCCTCCAGGGCGAAGGCTGGGCCCTTGGGATGCACAGGGACGTCGGGCCGGGAGCCGCACTCACTCTGCTGCTTCTGCCGGGCTTTGTCGCAGATGGCGGGCCTCAGGTAGACCTTGCGGCCCTCGGCGGCCGAGCAGTCGCGGCTGCACACCACCACGCCCAGGCAGGACTTCTTGAGGATGCGCGAGTTGTGGTTGTTGGTGTTGCGCATGGCCCAGCTGCTCAGGTGCCGCTGCGCGCTCCTGTCCTCCGAGCTGTAGATGTGCTTCTCGTAGGCGTCAGGCCACTCCTGGAACCAGTCCGTCTTTTTCACATTCTGATAGAAACACAAAGGAGAGTATCATGGCCTCAGCTGTGCGTAGATGCGAAGCTGGTTTCGGCGCTCCAGGGACCCTTGGCAAAGACCAAGATGGATTTCATTCTGTGGTGGGAGCTGAGCACGGGCAGCGCAGCGCGGCCACGGAACGGCTGCGTCCACCCAACATCTGCTCCCTGGACCAGCACGAGCTGTGATGCAGCCTCTCTGAGTGCTCCCCGACTAAGATTTCTCCAGCCTTTGGCGATAAGAGGGAGGGCCGGTTCTCACTAAGAATGTTGGGGGGTGAAGTAACATTATTGTGCTCTTACACAACGGGCAGGGCAATGAGATACTGTCTCTCCCTGTGTGGTGGTTACCTCGTTGGGAACGCGGAAGGTTAATGGAAAGTCACCTGACATAGGCGGTGGGAGGCGGGAGAGCCGCCTCCTGCCCTGTGGAGATTCTCCTCCCTTTGCTCTACTCCATGTCCAGACAGGGCAGAGGAGTCAGGAAAAGTTTATGTCGACTGGAAACGTCTAGGTTCTTGCCCAGGACGGGCGCTATTCCCTGCACATCAATAGCGAGCTAAACAAGACTCTCCTTTAAGTGGACAGGCACACAGGACCTCCACCCTTACAGCATGAGTTACCTGGCTGTCTGTGCCTCTGCTTCTTCATCTGAGTAACAGGGATAACTAGTCCTGCCTACCTCAAGAGTAGTTCTGAGAATTAAATATACTAGATAAGAAATACTTGGCACAGCACCCAGCATGGAATAAACACGAGTCACCGATGTTGTGGCTCACACAGATGCCTCACTGGACAGATGCTTACAGTGAGAATTCAGTGGTCTCAAGAGTCCATCGTGGGCTGTGCCCATCCCCACAGCTTCCAGAGAGCTGCCTTAAGAACATTTTTTCATCAAGAAGATTCTAGAAGGTCAGGATAGAAGATTCTAGAAGCTCTGGGAGGAGTGTTCCAGGTACTTTTTTGCTTCCCCAACAAAAAAACACAGCAATAAAATATGAGAAAGGAAAGACATTTGAGAAGGAGAAAAAACAAACATCATCGGGATGGAAGGGCATCACAGGGAAGTCCAGGTCTACTTAGAGTTCAAGTTCAGAACATGCCAAAGAACTTTGTAGCATGAGACTCAGGGCAGGTGACTGTCTCCGAAGCCTCTTTCTGCTTATCTCTAAAATGGGGACATGGGGCAAGGGAGGGTATAGCTCAGTGGTAGAGCATGTGCTCAGCATGCATGAGGACCTGGGTTCAATCCCTAGTACCTCCTTTAAAGTAAATAAATAAACGAACCAATTACCCACCCCCCCCTAGATGGGGACATGGATAAAACATGCCTCACAAAAGTACTGTGAGGAGCAGATGTGCTGTAAAAAAATTCATTAATTTTATATAATTAATGAAAGTTGTCATTTGAATGGAATTTCATGGGAACTGAGGTGGGTCTGAAGAAACAGAAACTGGAGGTTTTACATACATGGGAGGTAGTACTAGTTAATAGTGAAGAGCTGGGGTCTGCAGACTAGGGCCATGGGCCAAATCCAGCCCACTGCCTGTTTTTTGTAAATAAAGTTTTATTGGAACACAGCCACGTTCACTCATCTAAGTGTTGTCTGTGGCTACGTTTACACACCATAGCAGAGTCTGTTTGTTGCAGCCCAGACTGTATGGCCCACAGAGCCTAAAATATTTAACATCTGGCCCTTTATAGAGAGCTTGCCGTCTCCTGGCCGAGATCACAGCCTGTGGAGGCTCATGGCCTGGGTGTGGGCCTTTAAGTAGTTCCTTCCCCCGAGTGTCTCCACTTCCTGCTCTATGGGAGGGTGGCCATGGGAGTACCCACCTCACAGGGATGTTGTGAAGACTGAATGAGTTAACACACACAAAGCATTCAAAACAGTGCATGCTATTTACAACAGCCAATACATGGGAGCAACCTAAATGTCCATAAACAGATGACTGGATAAAGAAGATGTGGTATATTTATACAAGGGAATACTACTCAGCCATGAAAAAGAATGAAATAATCCCATTTGCAGCAACATGGATGGACCTGGAGATGACCCTACTAAGTGAAGTAAGTCAGAAAAAGAAAGAAAAATACCATATAATATCATTTACATGTGGAATCTAAAAAATGGTACAAATGAACTTATTTACAAAATACAAAGAGACTCACAGACATAGAAAAATTATGGTTACCAAAGGGGAATGTAGGAGAGGGATAAATTGGGAGTTTGGGATGAACAGATACAACTTACTATGTATAAAGTAGATAAACAATAAAGTCCTACTGTATAGCACAGGGAACTATATTTAATAGCTTGTAATAACCTATACTGGAAAAGAGAAACCAAAAAAATAGTGCCTGGCATATGGCAAGTTCCACATCAGTGTTAGCTGTTACTCTACCAGATCTGGGGCCAGCCAGTGTGGCTGTGACAGCCACCAGCTTTCAGGAGAGAGGTGACCCCCCAGAGAGGCCACTGCTTTAAACCTTGTCGAGCCAAATGCAAGACAGGAGTCCAAGAAAACAAAAGCTTGATTAGTACAACTCTTGTTCACGACCTCCTTTCTTGGAGCAGTGACTAGGCTGGCCCTTCCTGTGCTGCCCTCCCTGTGGAGTGAGGAGGGGACTTTGTTCCAGAGAGAAGGGAGGAAGTGGGGTGGCGTCTGGAGGAGCCCCCTCTGGTCCGCCAGGCAGCTACAGTTGGGGTTTCTAGGAAAGAGGCCAAGCCAGGATGCGCTGCCTCTCTCCCCCAGCTCCCTGGTAATTCTGAGCAGGACAAGACTTCATGCCCAGGGTGAGGAGAAGACCTTAGGCAGCCCCTCAGGCAGCCCTGTCTCCTGCCTTCTCCACCCACCTTCTCCTTTCTTCCTTCTGACCTAAAGCTCTAAACAATGATGGCCCTCTTGTCTTCCACCACAGAAAAGGCCTCAGAAAGCATAATATTTTATCTTCTGAAATAATCAGAATGTAGGTTCAAACATGAAAATGTGGACCTATAACAATTTGGACTGCAGGAATCTACTGGTAGATTTGAATTCTTCAAATACAAAGCATGGTTGTGAAGGCAGCAGAAACAAGGGCAGGGTGGACTTGAAGAAAAATTGAGATTTTCATGTTTAAACGGTGAGTGGCCCCTTCAAGCTGGTCAGCGGCATAAAACCCACAAACCAGGGTGAAGGGGGGTGCTTGTCAGAGCACCTGCAATGCTCCAGGTGGAGAGCAAGGACTCGGTAGGTGTGGAGCAAGAAACCATCTCCACTGTCTTTGCTGTTGGCTTTTTCTCCCAGTTTAATGTATATTTTGATTACCCTTTGAGACGTCCTCTTTTGATGGACTCTTGAGAAACACATTGTTTAGTTTCCCTGTATTTACAGATTTTCCTGTTGCCTTTTGCTATTAATTTCTAGGGTGAATCCACTGCAGCTGGAGAATGCATTCTGTGTTTTCGATTATTTTAATATTGTTGATCTTTGCTTTAGGGCTCACAAAATGTCCTTTTTTCCCAACAGCCCCGCCACTGGCATCCTCCAGTTCCATTAATAATGCAGTAATAATTTGGACAAGGTATAACCTTGAGAAAATTACTAGGAGTAAACGTATTCATGTTGAGGTAGTCTCTTGGCTGCTTATTTATGACCAGTCTTTTGACCTGGACATTTAGTGGGATTTTTGACATTTTTTTGATATTGAAATTAAGGAAACCCAGATTCCGGTAATGTAAAGGAAGCCAGGTGTCAAATGAATGATAATGAACTCTGACAGTCTCCTAAATTTAAGGCATTAGAGAGTAAAATTTTAAAAGGAAGAGCAATCATTTCTTAATCTTGTTTAGCGAATCCCCACAAAATATTTTTTTTCTTTTCAGATCTTCTGTTTATTTTAATTTCTAACTTTTCATGAGTAACTCTTTGTTTTTCCTCTTGGTTAAGAAGTTTATCATTTAAAGGGAATATTCCTGGTGTTTCCAACATGTAAATATAATGAATTTATACTTTATAATCTTATGGGTAACAGCACTGGTGGGGGTAGAGGGTTAATTAATATTTCTGTGACTTCTGTATGTAATTTTTTTTCCTAAGAGAGTTAATCTTCTAAGTCACTCAAAGTCTTTGAAGCTGTGCAAAGTACCCTTCATCCTCCCCTCATTCTAATTTACTTAACTACTTGAAGTTTTAATAGGATATCTTAAAAATTAAATATACACTATTACATAAAACTAATGAATTAAAATCAAAATTCTGAAATAAAGTATCAAACATTTACATTATCACGTTATTATATTAAAAGCGATTTTCACTTGGAAATAGTCCACTCTAATGTAAAGCAACTATATGCTAGGTTTTCTTTAATAAAAATAATGTGTTCATTCCTTAGAAATAAACATTTCCAAATAAAACAGGGCTAGCAAACAGATACATGTTTAAGTAAATCAGAGAGAGAGGAAAAATTAGATGTAACAATGGAACACAGGAAAAAAATTGAAGCAGCATTTCGATTTGTCTTCAGCTTTTCAGGAACTTATCTCCCTGAGCCAACTGGAAACTCAGCTCCAAGTGCTGTCAAAGGGAGAAATTCAGTTTGACAAGATGCTTTTTAGTTAACTTAATAAGAATTACTCCTTTGACTAATCTTGCAATTTCTTACCTTTTTGGAGGGGGGAGGTAATTAGGTTTATTTATATTTATCTTTTTGATGGAGGGACTGGGGATTGAACCCAGGACCTTGTGTATGCTAAGCATGCGCTCTACCACTGAGCTATACCCTCCTCTACACCTTTGTTAAATGGGTCAAGATTCAAGACACAAATTTCCTTATTTGCTCAGACAACATTAGTGCCCCAGCTTTCAAACTCTGTCACCTCCCTCTCTTTTCTCCTCTCCTTTTACTTTCCAGCTCCACCCAGCTAAGGAAGGGACCTCCTGGCAGGCACCCGGGAGAGTCTCTGCTACCCCAGATGCAGTGATGTTCCCATCCCCATCCCCCTGGAA